GGCATTTGGTTTTCTGTTCCTGCATTAGTTCGCTTAGGATAATGGCCTCCACCTGCGTCCATGTTGCTAGGCAATGTAGCAAGACCTCACCTCTACTAAAAATAAAAATAAAATTAAAAATAAACAGGTGAGCATACAGGCATATGCCTATAGTCCTAGCTACTCAGGAAGCTGAGGTGGGAGGATCACTTGAGCCTACAAGATTGAGGTTGCAGTAAGCCGTGATGGCACCACTGCATTCCTACCTGGGCAACAGAGCAAGACCCTATCTCAAAAAATAAATTTAATTTAATTTAATTTAATGTTCGTAGAAAAATAGTTTGAAGTTGTGGACCCCTTACAAAGGTCTTGATTTACTACATTTGGAAATTACTGGCCTAAGAGAGACACAAATAACACGAAATTACAAATGGAGACCATCAGAGTGTACAGATGAGAGGTTATTAATTAAAGAAACTGTGAAACGTCCACATCACTTTTTAAATTCTGTGCAGCTGCATTTGGCTGGGGCAGAGCAGCCCTCCCCCACTGCCAGTGCCCACTCTGCTTCCATGGAGACTCATCTCCAAAGGCACTGAGCATTGCTTGGCAACCAGACCAGCTCCTCCATCCTCTCCCCCAGCAATGAAGACCTACTGCATTCCTGCTGTTCTATCCTCATACCTGCAATTGTCTGCAGAGGAACCATGGATACATTAAAATTGAGGGAAGAACAGCAACATTACACATCTGACACCACAGAAACTACCAGCTGCAGTGGTTCCCAGAGTCCGCATTTGATCTCTCTACATTTCCTGGGCTGACACAATGTCTCCGTGAAGCTGAGGTATCAGCACTTGCTGTGAAGAAAAGCAATCACCAAAAGAAAATCCATGAGAATGAGGGGTGAGGGTGGCAAGGTCCCGTCTGATTCCAAGGTTTGAGAAGTTGCATGGTGCCCAGCAGACACACATATATCCCATTATTCAATAATTGTCATTATTGAAAAATTGAAAAAATGTATTTTGAGAGAAGGAAGTAACCACCACACATTGTTAACATGGCTGTTGTCCATAAAACTGAATATACCAAGTGTTGGCGGGCTACAGAAAAATAGGAACCCTTCTGCCTGTTGTTGGGAATGCGATGTGATACAGGGGCTTTGGAGTGAGATGGTTTCTGTTAAACTCATAATAAAGTTACCAGATGATCCAGCAATTCCTCATCTGGGTAGATACCCCAAAGAGTTGAAAACAGTGGGCCAGGCACGGTGGCTCATGCCTATAATCCCAGGACTTTGTGAGGCCGAGGCTGGTGGATCACAAGGTCAGGAGATCAAGACCAGCCTAGCTAGCATAGTGAAACTCCGTCTCTACTAAAAATACAAAAAATTAGCTGGGCGTGGTGGCATGCACCCGTAATCCCAGTTACTCAGGAGGCAGAGGCAGGAGAATCACTTGAACCTGGGAGGTGGAGGTTGCGGTGAGCCGAGATCACTCCACTGCACTCCAGCTTGGGTGACAGAGCAAGACTCCACCTCAAAAAAAAAAAAAAAAAAGAAAGTGCAATCGTGGTTCCCAGGGGCAAAAAGGAATGGAGAGTTAGCGTTCCATGAATATAGAATTCCAGTTTTGCAATATGAAAACTATTCTAGGTATGGAAGGTGGTGATGTTTGTGAATAATGTGAATGCAACTCATGACACTGAATTGCACACTTAAAAATGATTAAAATATAAATATTGAATTAGGTCATAATTTATCCCTTTTTTATTTGAAAATTTAAAAAAACTTGAAAGTCTTTGCTTATGAATTAATATTAGCAAAATATGAACTATACGGTAAGTTTTATATCCTGTGTTGTTTGCCAGATTTTTAACAAGGAATGCCTACTCACTTTCCAGTGCTTCAACAGTGCCATCTAGCTGTGGCAAAGGCACTGGATAGCATTTGATAAGATCACACACATTGCCTCAAATGAGAAGAAAGAGAAAAAAATGAGACCCTAAATCGCTTTGTCGCTGTTGATTTTCTTGTGTGTTCTTTGAAAAGAATTTGTGCCCCAAATTTTATTAATGAGCACATGGCCATGGAAGGCTGTAGGACTCTGGATAGATCTGAGATGGTGTAACCGCCTGATGGGCTGCTTCTTCCTGCCTACAGCACAGAAAAAAAAGAAAAAATTCACTGAGACACCAGGCACAGTGCCTCATACCTGTAATCCCAGCAGTTTGAAATGCCAAGGCGGGTGAATCACGAGGTCAGGAGTTCGAGACTATCCTGGCCAGCATGGTGAAACCCCATCTCTATTAAAAGTACAAATTTAGCTGGGTGTGGTGGCAGGTGCCTGTAATCCCAGCTACTCAGGAGGCAGGAGAATCAGTTAAACCCAGGAGACAGAGATTGTAGTGAGCCAAGATCTCACTATTGTGCTCCAGTCTAGGCAACAGAGCAGGACTCCATCTCAGAACAAAAACAGTAACAAACAAACAACAATTCACTGAGACCATGACATTGCAACAAAGAAGAGTTAATTATTGTTATGAGGCTGGCCACGCCACATGGGAGACAGAGTTATTACTCAAATCAATCTTCTTGAAAATTCGGAGGTTAGGGTTTTTCAAGGATGGTTTGGTGGGCTAGGGAGTCCACTTCTGGGTGGGGCTAAAGGACCAGTTGGTGAGTTGACAGATTTGAATGGAGTCATTGGCCATCAGGTACGCAAAAACCTGAAAAGACATTTGAAAAGGCCAATATTAGGTTCTACAAGAGCAATGTTATCTGCAGAAGTCATTGTGGAAGTTGCAAATCTCATGACCTCCAGAATCCTGGTAATCATTTAAGTCTACACCTCAGCAGAATTCAGGCTCCTCATCCTCCTAACCTGGTGGCCTTTCCTTAGCTTCACAAAGGCAGTTTCGTTTTTTTGGGGGAAGGGCTATTATCATTTAAATCATGAATGAAAACATCTCCCAAAGTTAAGTCGGTCTGAGTTCAAGGTTTGAGAAGCTGTGCAGTGCCCAACAGGCTTCTCACTGGCAATAGATCACAATCTTATGACCAATGACTTTAAACCTGAACACCCATCACAAATATTCAATGTCTCGAATATACTAGATTTTTATCCAATCACAATGCACCATGCAACCCTACACTCAAATCTAGGCACAAGTCGATTTTTCACCTCCATTCTGCTAGACTTAATGTGACTAGAGAAATCAACATCAAAAAACATCAATGGGTGAAACTGTTAGGAAAAAATCATCCAAAATTTAGCAGCTTAATAAACAATAAACTTGTTATTTTCCTCACAGTTTCAGTGGGTTAGGAATCTGGGTGAGGTTAGCTGTGTCCTCTGGCTCAGGCTCTCATGAGGATACAATCAAGCTGTCAGCCAGGGCTGCAGCTCTCTCAGGGCTTCACAACCCTCTTTCAAATTCACTTCCATGGCTGCTGGCAGGCCTCAGGTCCTCTTTGTCTGTGGCTGGAGACCTCAGCTCCTGTCCACTTGCACCTCTTCATAAGAAGCAGCTGGCTTGCCCCAGGGCTAGGGAGGAGAAAGAAGAAGAGAGAGAAAAAGAAAATGAGAGAGAGATCACAGTCCTTTTCTGTCACCTAATCCCAGAAGTGACATCCCATCACTTTCACGTATTCTATTGCTACTAAGAAAATAGCACCTAGGTCCAGCAAGGAAGGCACAATGGCTCATGCCTGTAATCCCAGAAGTTTAGGAGGCCAAGATATGTGGATGACCTGAACTCAGGAATTCAAGACCAGCCCAACCAATATGGTGAAATACCGTCTTGACTAAAAATACAAAAATTAGCTGGACATAGTGGAACACACCTGTAATCCCAGCTACTTGGGAAGCTGAGGCAGAAGAATTGCTTAAACTCGGGAGGCGGAGGTTGAAGTGAGCTGAAATCACACCACTGCACTTCAGCCTGGCCTAGAAGGCAAAACTCTATCTCAAAAAAAGAAAGAAAAGAAAAGAGTCCCAATAGTCCCTAGGTCCAGCCCATGCTCAAAAGGAGACGATTATACAGGACATGAATATGAGGAGGCTGTTTGCCACAGTCCTCAAAGACATCCGCACTCTGCCCTCTCACAACATTTTGAGAGGCTGAGGCAGGAGGATTGCTTGAGGCCAGCAGTTGGAGACCAACCTGAGCAACATAGGGAGCTCTGGTCTCTGCAAAAAATACACAAAATTAGCCAGGTGTGGTGGTGCATGCCTGTTGTTCCAGCTACTTGGGAGGCTGAGGGGGGAGGACTGATTGAGCCCAGGGGTCTTGGGACAGGGGTGTGGGTGAGGCTGCAATGAGTCGACATTGCCCCACTGCACTCCCATCTGGATGAGAGTGAGACCCTGATTCAAAAAAAAAAAAAAAAAAAAAAGATCCTCACTCTGCATCCCTAATGGCCGTGTTGGCCAGGATGGTCTCCATCTCTTGACCTCGTGATCTGCCCGCGCTCCTTCCCCCCTGCTGCGTCTCCTCCATCTCTCCGTCTCAGCTCCTGGCCTCTCCTGGCATGGGGCGGGGCAGTGGTTGTGGGCTCCTCCTCCAGCTGCTGCGGAGGAGCAGCAGTGCAGTTCACGCTCTGGATTGGCAGTGGCAGGTGCCGCGCTCGGCGACCCCTGTAGGCTGGTGTGGGCGCCGCCTGGGGGTCGCGGTGGCACCGCCTGCAGGTCCCCGCGGTGCTCGTCGCTGCCCAGCGCCCCGCCTGGGGGTCGCGGTGGCGCCGCCTGGAGGTCGCCGCGGTGCTCGCCGCGGTGCTCGTCGCTGCCCAGCGCCCCGCCTGGGGGTCGCGGTGGCGCCGCCTGGAGGTCGCCGCGGTGCTCGTTGCTGCCCAGCGCCCTGCCTGGGGCTTCCTCGGTGAGTCGCTGCTGCCCCCTCCCGGGGCGGCGGGCCCGGGTCCCGCGAGCCGCATGTTCTCGCGAGGCGCCTCCGCTCCTCAGGGAACTCAGCGGTGCAGGCCGGGAGGGGCTGCCGCACGGGTCGCCACGTTCCCCGCGGGGCCGGAGGGGCTCTGGCCTTGGGCCGCTCACCCCGCTCCAGCCACCGCCTCCCCCTTCCCACAGCAGAAGCAGGCGATGGAGGGACCTCCAGGCAGGAGGCGCCGCGGCTCCCCCATCAGCGGGCAGGGCGGAGGAGAAAGACGCCAGGAAGCGGAAGGTTCCCGCCGGCCAAGGGTCGCCCAGGGCTGCGCCCCCTGAGTCCTGCCCGCGAGCAGCTGCTGGGACCCTCCCTGCCATGTTGCTCCCCGAAAAGCTCTAAGGCTCGCAGAACTGCAGAGAGAGACCCTTCTTCCTCACTGTGAGTCTGCAAACTCGGGGCCAGGTATTTTCTGCATATTCTTAAATAGGATGCTTCAGTCAAAGGTTGATGTTGAGCCCCTCTTTCTGATTATTGCCTGCTGTTACAGAGAACGTATGAACATGAAAATAAGAATATTTATAAATAGTTTTTGCCAGAGGCGGTGGCTCACACCTGTAATCCCAGCACTTTGGGAAGCCGAAACGAATAGATCACGAGGTCAGGGGTTCGAGACCAGCCTGGCCAACATAGTGAAACGCGTCTCTACTAAAAAACACAAAAATTGTCCGGGCGCGATGGCTCACACCTATAATCCCAGCACTTTGGGAGGCTGAGGCGGATGGATCTCGAGGTCAAAAGATCGAGACCATCCTGGTCAACAAGGTGAAACCCCATCTCTACTAAAAAAAAAAATACAAAAATTAGCTGGGCATGGTGGTGCGTGCCTGTAATCCCAGCTACTCGGCAGGCTGGGGCGGGAGAATTGCTTGAACCCAGGAGGCGGAGGTTGCAGTGAGCCGAGATAGTGCCATTGCACTCCAATCTGGGTAACAACAGCGAAACTCCGTCTCAAAATACACACACACACACACACACACACACACACACACACACAATTAGGTGGGCGTGGTGGCAGGTGCCTGTAGTCCCAGTTGCTCCGGAGGCTGAGGTGGAAGAATCGCTTGAACACAGGAGGCAGAGGTTGCAGTGAGCTGAGATCACACCACTGCTGCGCTCCAGCTTGGCGACACAGCAAGATTTCGTCTCAAAAAAGAAAAAAAAGGATATTTATGAATAGTTTCCAAATTTTGGAGGAATCAAGAAGGGAGAGGAAAAACAAATGCATCCACCCACCTTTGTTCACAAAATCGTGGTTTACCAAATCAGTGTAAATTATAGATGACTTCTAAGAAATACGTTTCTTAAATCTAGAAAACAAAGCAAATAAAGGGCCGGGCGCAGGGCTCACACCTGTAATCCCAGTACTTTGGGAGTCCCAGGCAGGGGGAGGGAGGAGGAAGGGGGAGGGGAAGAAGGGGCTGAGATCACCTGAAATCAGAAGTTTGCAACCAGCTTGACCTAATATGATGAAACCCCGTCTCTACTAAAAATACAAAAATTAGCTGGACATAGCGGCACGTGCCTACAGTCCCACCTACTCGGGAAGCTGAGGCAGAAGAATCGCTTGAACTCAGGAGGCGGAGATTGTGGGGAGCCGAGATTATACCACTGCACTCCAGCCTGGGCGACAGAGTGAGACTGTCTCAAAAAAAAAAAAAAGGAATAAAAATGTTTTAAATACCTGCTACAAAAACATTATCTTAATAGATTTTTTTTCTTGATCTTGCTTATCAGTTTTTTGAACCCTAAGGTTTCCTTATTAGAGTTCTAGAAATTGGTTTTTAGTCCATTGATTTTTATTTTCGTTTTTGAGACTGCGTCTCACTCTGTCGCCCAGGCTGGAGAGCAGTGGCACAATTTTGGCTCACTGCAATCTCCACCTCCCAGATTCAAGCTATTGTCATGCCTCAGCCTCCTGAGTAGCTGGGATTACAGACATGAACCACCACACCTGGCTAATTTTTGTATTTTTAGTAGACATGGGTTTTCACCGTGACAGCCAGGCTGATCTTAAACTCTTGACCACAAGTGATTCACCTGCCTTGTCCTCCCAAAGTGCTGGGATTACAGATGTGAGACCCTACACCCAGCCCATTGATTTTTAAAAATATATTTATTTGTAATGTGTTGAAGGGGTATAAGTGCGAGTTTCTTACATGCCTGTCATAGTGATGAAGCCTGGGTAGTTCATTGATGTGAGTTATCAGAAACCTGTGTTCAAGAGGGCTCCTCAGCATTTTTTCCATAAAAGGCAAATCTGGGTGCAGGGCTCGGTGGCTCATGGCTGTAATCCCAGCACTTTGGGAGGCTGAGGCTGGTGGATCATGAGGTCAAGAGCTCAAGACCAGCCTGGCCAACATGGTGAAACCCTGTCTATACTGCCACCAATTAGCTGGGCATGGTGGCAGGAACCTGTAGTCCCAGCTACTGTGGAGGCTGAGACAGGAGAATCACTTGAACCCAGGAGGCAGAGGTTCCAGTAGAGTAGGTGTCCAGCCTAGGTGACAGAGTGAGACTCTGTCTCAAAAAAAAAGAAAAAGAAAATTTGGACTATTGCTGATTACAAATATTTTTAGAGTAGAATTCAAAATGGTGACTGTGGATGATGGAAACAGTAGTTATGATGAGAATTGATGAAAGTTCCCAATTCACAAGAAAATTTAATTTCTTATTTTATGTGCAGCATTTTAAGACAGTAACCAGAATCATGACTGACATCATCACATCAGGACCACCAGACCGTTTTTTGTTTGTTTTTGAGATGGAGTCTCACTCTATTGCCCAGGCTGGAGTTCAGAAAGGGGGTGGGGAAGATTTTAAAATATATATATATATGTATTTTGAGACAGAGTTTTGCTCTTGTTTCCCAGGTTGGAGTGCAATGGTGTAATATTGGCTCACCACAACCTCCACTTTCCAGGTTTAAGTGATTCTCCTGCCTCAGCCTCCCAAGTAGCTGGGATTACAGGGATGCTCCACCACACCTGGCCAATTTTGTATTTTTAGTAGACATGGGGTTTCTCCTTGTTGGCCAGGCTGGTCTCAAACTCCCAACCTCAGGTGATCCGCACACCTCACTCTCCCAAAGTGCTGGGATTACAGGCATGAGTCACCATCCCTGGCCTAAGTAACAACATGTTTTAAAAAGCCACATTGTCCTACATAACCCATTTCTCTTGCATATTTAGGAAATTGAGGGTTTTTTCCTAAAACATGCTGACATATGGGAAATAGGATGCAAAATGTTCATGAATGTTTTAGACACAGTTTGAGGTTTCCGAGAGATTTTGTGCTGGGGAGGCTGCTTGCTACAAGCTCCCAAAGCTATGAGAAGACATGGTATTCATCCTCCCTCAGCAGAGGTGGTGAGGTGATAAGCCCTGGGGCATGCCTGAGCCTTGGGCTTTTAGCATAGAGTGTTCAGGTCTTTATTGTTTGGGCCCATGGCACAGAGAGGTCCTGGGTCTCTGGCTTCCTGTGACCTTTGCCTTCCTTGCCAACAGAAAATGTGACCCTGCAAAGCAAGAAACTTGAGGGCATGGGGGCATAGGCGGTCACTGCTCTGTGGATCACCCAGCTGTGTCAGGCAACCTCAACCCAGTCTGCAGGAATTCCAGGAGGAAAATACAAAAGTCTTTTCATGAGCACTAAGAAGGCAGATGCAGTAGGAACCTCCAGGCAGTAACTACCAGTCTGGGACTTGCGGTGGAGAGAGAGCATATTGGCGATCATGTGTACTTACACTCTAGGGTCACCAGGCGGCACTGTGGCCTCATCTGTGGCTCTGAAAAGGAAGATTTGGAAGGAGATCATCACAGCTAATGTTTAAAAAGTCCCTACTATGTGCCAAATCATTCAGCCCTGGCAACAACTTAAGGAGCTAGGGATTCTTATTATCTATATTTTATAGCCAAGGTAATGGAGACATAAAGAGGTGAATTATCTTGCCCAGATCACTCAGCTAATAAGTAGTGGAGGCTGAATAGGACCTAAACAGTGTGGCTGTGGAGCCCACATGCATTGATTCCACACATGTTTATTGAGCACCTGCCATGTACAAGGCCCTGTGTGATTAAATACAGTTAGGATTAATAATGTAACAATGACAAATCACCGACACTTTTTAGAGGTAAGATTTTCTTTTTTTTGTAAGTTTCAGTCACAGAACTGTGTATGCAATAATAGTGAAATTGATCCCACTAGTTATGACAGAAATGATGATACATTTAAATGAGTTGGATGTTTTAGAGATATTGTCTCCTGAATCCTTGACAGAAACTGAATGAGGAATGAAATTTATTGTTCCCATTTCACACAGAAGGAAACTGAGGTAAAGAGGGGTAAAGTAATTTTGCATGGCATGAAGTAGAAATTCAAAGTACAGGAATTTGAACTTGGTTCTGACCTTTTCTGAGGCCCCCATGCTCTTGACCACTGTAGACTCAAGCATCACCTTGTTTTTCCACTCATTCAACAAACATTTTTTTTAAATTGTCTAATAGGTTGGCACTCATCATGAACTTCTGTTCCTGTTCTGCACATGGCGAAGCCCTCTATTGTCCTGACCCCACAGTACCTGTCCCATGACCAGGGCCAGCTCACCAAGGAGCTGCAGTAACAGCACGTGAAGTCAGTGCCATCCCCCATGTGAGCACCTGAGGAAGGTGAGTGAGTGCAGACAGATAGGGCCTGGTGCCCTTGAACAGTTCCTGGTCCTGGCTGCCCCACGTCTCACAGGGGGCCATGCTGGGGGAAGCGTAGGCTGTCACAGTTCTGGCTTTCCCTCCTTTTTCCTTCCATACAAGTGTCTTAGGGATGGGGCAGACTAGTTGACTTATTTGGATAAAAACTGCTATCTTGTGTCAGAAACTCAAAAGGAATCACTGCTGGCATGTTAACCTAAAGAAAAACAACCAGACAAGTGCCCAATGATACTTAAAAAGGTTATTTATTTATTTATTTGAGACAAAGTCTTGCTCTCTTGTCCAGGCTGGATGGAGTGCCATGGTGCGATCTTGGCTCACTGCAGCCTCCGCCTCCTGAGTCCAAGCGATTCTCCTGTCTCAGCCTCCGGAGTAGCTGGAACTATAAGCATGTGCCACCACACCTGGCTGATTTTTGTGTTTTTAGTAGAGAGGGGGTTTCGCCATGTTAGCCAAGCCGGTATTGAACCCCTGACCTCAGGCAATCCTCTTGTCTCATCCTCCCAAAAGTCTGGGATTACAGGGGTGAGCCACCGCGCTTGGCCTAAAGGTTACTTATTATCCTGCAAAGTTTAGGCTGGGTGTGGTGGCTCATGTCTGTAATCCCAGCACGTTGGGAGGCAGAGGTGGGTGAATCACCTGAGGTTAGGAGTTCAAGACCAGCCTGACCAGTATGGTGAAACCTCATCTCTATTAAAAATACAAAAATGAGCCAGGGTTTGTGAAAAGAGGGTGGGCGTCTGTGTCCAGTCAGTGTGATGGGAGCTGAGAAGCCCATCAGATGGAGAAGAAAAGGCTGCACCTGCTGGGAGGTTTGCAATATGGAAGTCACTAGGAGTGACATGACCAGGACGTGAATGAGGACTGTATTGTCCTTTGTTTTATAAAATGTGTATGGTGCAGATCATTGATTGACCCAAAGGAGAAAGGATCTTAAAGTCCTTATGTTATCCAAACATAAAGAAATGACAGGCCAGGTGTGGTGGCTCACGCCTGTAACTGGGAGGCTGAGGCCGGCAGATCAGTTGAGGTCAGGAGTTCCAGACCAGCCTGACCAATATGGTGAAACACTGTGTCTACTAAAAATATAAAAATTAGCCAGGTATGGTGGCAGGCGCCTGTAATAACAGCTACTAAGGAGGCTAAGGCAGGAGAATGGCTTGAACCCAAGTGGCAGAGGTTGCAGTGAGCCGAGATTGTGCCACAGCACTCTAGCCTGGGCGACTGAGAGGGATACTGTCTCAAAAAAAAAAAATTTGTGTGTGTGTGATTTTTTTTTTTTTTTGAGTCAAAGTCTCCCTCTTGTCTCCCAGGCTGGAGTGCAATGGCATGATCTTGGCTCACTGCAACCTCCGTCTCCCTGGTTCAGGCGATTCTTCTGCCTCAGCCTCCCGAGTAGCTGGGATTCCAGGCACCTGCCACCACACCTGACTAATTTTTGTATTTTTGGTAGAGATGAGGTTTCACCATGTTGTTGGCCAGGCTGGTCTGGAACTCCTGACCTCAAGTGATCCGCTAGCCTCAGCCTCCCAAAGTGCTGGGATTACAGGCATGAGCCACTGCCCCTGGCCTTTCTGTGATATTTTTTAGATCATCAGCTATTGTTAGTGTTAATGTATTTTATGTGTGGCCTAAGACAAGCTTCCTTCTTTTAATATTACCCAGGGAAGCCAAAAAATTGGATATACCTGCTTTACGTCAAAAAAAAAAAAAAAAAAAAAAAAGACACTCTACATTTGGAATGCCTAAAAACACTACCAGCCATGCAAAAAACATGAGACTGGTAACTTCCAATCTTTTTTGAAGCAGTGGAATCCCCTGGTGATATCTAAGGGGTGTAGTTACCTCTTGGAGGAGGTTGATGGTTTCTAAAGATATTATTTTTTACTGAAATATTGTAAATGTCATTGACATTTTTTATTACTTCAACTATTATTGTTCCAGGTGATCAGTTTTCCACCTGATTATTTGTATCCTGGGCATGACTTTCTTGGCATTCTGTGGATGCTTATCACTATTGTGTTTCTGGCTGTTTCCACAGTTGGCCTCTTCCTCCGAAAAATTAGCTTGTATGAGAGTATACTAACTTCGTGTAGAGGTATACTTGTAATGACATAAAAGAAATTATTTAAAACAATTCATGATTCTGGACTTTATTATGAATATTGGGTTTTACCAAAAACATCAGGGAAATGATTTATTAGCATAAGAATTATAAAAATGTCTGCCATTTACATTATGAAAATTAAATAGGTTGGTGTTTATTTAATAGAATGTCGACAGAGCTTTGGGTCAAAAATAAGTTGTTGTTGTTTTTTTTTAACCTTTATGCTCTTTATCAGAAATGGAGTATGAAGTTTTGGCACTTAAATAGGAAATTCTGTCTAAACTTTTCTGCTTTATAATTCTATTGTATGGCTGGATGGAAAGCTTTCACTTTCCTCTCTAAAGGTTCACTTCAGGAATGAACTAAAAACAGACAGCTTAACAGGAAAAGAAAAAGATAGAACAGGCATAAACATGGGAGCCAGCCAAAAAAGGAGACTGCAAGAAGGGTCAGATAGTTGATGGTTGAATAGCGCTCTCTTTTCAGGAGAGAGGGAGATAGATGGAGCTGGAAGCAACTTAGAGGAGGCGCAAGTGATTTTTAGGAGAAATGAAAGAGCCCAAGGAACAAACAGTTGGCCTGAGACAAAGTTCCTTTGAGATCATAGGGAAGAGGCGACAAAGTGCAGGAAGGTGAAGGGCAGAGCTGCACTGCCTCTGATGATGCAAAGAGAGCGCCAGAGAATCTGTTGGAACTGTCCTTCAGAGAATCAATGAAGAGTGTGTCTGGGCATGGTAATTTCAATTGACGTCACTCAAAGTGCATATTCCCGTTTGCAGGTGGAGAGGGATCAGTATGTCCAAAGTCTGTACTTGATAGGAATTTGGCTGCTAAGTTGTGCCATCATTTGAGTCTTTTTGTCCATTGGGTAAATTGAGCTGTACATTTTCTCTTGCTGTTCATGACAGTAAAAATGTGGTTGGCTGGGGGCTGACCCTCCTTCTGAACAATGATCCAAGAAAAAAGCACCAATCAATCCCACAATGCTGTTTTATATTCAAGGGAAGAGGAAGTATGTTTTATTTTTGCAGCCTAATTACCCGCCATTCGGGACTGCCTTTCAAGATATGTAGAAAACAGAAAGTAGATGACTTATGAAGATATCTAGGCACATTTAACTGTCTCTCCTTTTTTTTTTTTTTTTTTTTTTGAAATGGAGTCTCACTCTCTGGCAAGTGGGAGGAGGAAAAAGAGGGTGGTGACGGGGGTACAGGGGGGCAAGCAGGAGAGAGAGAAGATTTGCAAAAACAGTTGAAAGAAAAGAAAGGGAAAGAAGACGATGGGTAAAACGACTTTGGGTAGATGGAGGTGGGGGGGAAAAGCGTGGCAAGTGGGAGGAGAAAAGGGGGTGCAGAGGGAGGGGGAAGAGAGAGTGGAGAGCAGGAGGGAGAGGAGGCTTTGGGAAAGATGAGGCGGAAAGTTTTTAAGTGGATGGGGAAAAGAGGGTGGCAAGTGGGAGAAGGATAAAGTGAGCAGGAGTGGGGAAAGAGGGTTGGGAAAAAGACAGGGAAAATTGTTTGGGGTATCTGGAGGACAAAAAGTGTGGAAAGCAGGATAGGGGAAAGAAGAGGGCGAGCGAGAAGTGAAGAAGGCTTTGTGAAAAGGTGGTGGGCAAAAATTTGGGAGGTAGATGGGGAAAAGAGGGTGGTGAGCAGGAGTAAGGAGAAGGGTTTGTGAAAAGAGGGTGGGTAAATGTTTTTGGGTAGATGGAGAAGGGAAAGAGGGTGGCAAGGAGGAAGGGGGAAAAGACAATGGGGAAAACACCTTTGAGTACATGAAGGGGGAAAAGAGGTGGTGAGCAGCAGGAATGGGCAGAAGACTTTGAGAAAATATGGAGGAAATGTTTTGGGTTAGATGAAGGAGCAAAAGAGGGTGGCAAGAGCAGGAGAGGGGAAAAGAAGGTGGCCAGGAAAAGGGAGAAAAGACGGTGGGGAAAAACAGTGAAGAAAAGTTTTTGGGTACATGAATGGTGAAAAGAGTAGTGAGTGGGAGAATAGAGAAGGCTTTTCGAAATAACAGTGGGGAAAATGGTGAAAACGTTTTGGCGCAGATGGAAGAAGAAAAAGGGTGGTGAAAGGGAGCAGGCCAAAGGTGGTCGGGAAAAGAAGATGGGGAAATAACGGTGGGGAACAAAGCTTTTGGGTAAGTCTTTTTCTGATTTTTAAATCAGATGATTTGTATTTTTGCTTTTGAGTAGTTTGAGTTCATTATATGTTTTGTGTACTAACCCTTGCCTCATGCATAGTTTGTAAATACTTTCTTCTATTTTCTGGATTGTTTCTTCATGCTACTGTTTGCTTCCTCTGTTTTGCAGAAGGTTTTACATTTAATGTAATTGCATTTGTCTATTTTTGCTTTTATTGCTTGTACTTTTGATGTCTATTTGAAAATCCCTTGACCTAACCAATTTCAGGTAGCATTTATCCTATTTTTTCTTCTCTGATAGTTTCATAGTTTCAGGTACTACATTTAAATCTTTACTTTGAGTAGATTTTTGTATATGGTAAGATAACAGTCTAGATTTATTCTTGTACAAGTGGACGTTCTGTTTTCCTAGCACAGTTTATTGAAGAGACTGTCCTTCCCAAAGGTGGGTCTTCTTGGTGCCTTTGTTAAAAATGAGTAAATGGTAAATACGTGAATTTATTTCTGAGTTCTCTATTCTGTTTCATTTGTCTATGTCTGTCTGACATTCATCTATTTCTATCTATCTCTGTCTCTCCCTTGCCCCTTTTTTTGTGCCAGTTCCATGCTGTTTTGGTTACTATAGGTTTGTAGTATATTTTGAAATTAGGTAGTGTGATGCTTCCAGCTTTTTTCTTTTTATGCAAGATTCTTTTGTCTGAAGTATTTTGCATGTCTATGTAGATTTTAGGATTTTTTTTTTCTATTTCTATGAAGAATGTCTTTTGCAATTTAATGGGATTGTGCTCATTCTGTAGATCCCACTGGGTGATACAGATATTTCAACAATATTCTTCTAGTGCCTGTACATGGGATATCTTTCCATTTATATGTGCTTGCTTTAATAGCTTTTATCTAAATTTCATAGTTTTCATTGTGGGATTTCGCCTTTTTGGTAAGTTCATCTCTAGGTATCATTTTTTGGTGGAGGCAGTAGCTACTGTAATGAAGTAGCTTTCTTGATTTCTTTCTTAGGTGTTTC